GTGTGTGTGTGTGTGTGTGTGAATAGTTTAATAAGAATTCAAATATAAAAGCCGGTCTTGAAAAACAGTATTGTAAAATCTATCTTGTAGTACACATTTTGGTTGCAATGTAATCTGACTCTTCACACATTTCTGCCAGAGCAATAGATATTCTCCTGAAAAAAAAAAAGCTACAGTTGCTCAAAACAGTTATGAAGTCTATTATGACAAAGGAAGCTAGTTTATTTGACCAAGTAATTCATTTGCAGTTAATTTTTTAATAAAAGCACTGTGGGGGTTTGGACTCTAGAGGGCTTCATCCATTGCTGATGCAGCTGTTGCTTTTAAGCAGTGGTGACCAGTTTGCTCTCCGGGTTCATAACTGATTCCTGGGCTTGGAACCTTTGATTAATAGTAAGGGGACAGTGCAAATGCCTCGAGGCTCTTAATCTGTTATTGTGGCTATAAATGGCTGAGCATACAGCTCAGTGTCTTTCTGCTTGGCTGCCTTCTGGCTCAGCCTGGCATAGTCCCTCATCTAACTAGATGTTTCTAAGGGTTCTGGTTGATGGGTGAAGCTGGTTCTCCTTGGGATGGCATTGGCAGTTCCTCTTTCTCTCCGTTTGTTGTTCTGGGGACAGTCGGGTGCACATGTAACGGCACTGCTGTGGCCTTCAGCCCTGATACACACACGGCAGCTGTTCTTGTGCTACCTTGCCATGTCTGGTTGTACACTGCTGTCACCTGGAATTGTCCAGCTAATGGGGGTGGAGCTCCTCAGTTAAAAGCAGGTTCCTGCTGCTGTCTGTCTGTCCACTATGTCTGTCCTAAAGCATGTTGAGCCTTTAGTCTGTCATAACTTGTAAACTTTATCCTTTTCGAAAAGAGCTGGCATCCAGTAGCTTTCACGTAGCATTTACAACGGTGTGAACATGCCCCAGCCTTTCAAGGCTGGCCAGTTTCTGGCCGTGCCTGCTTCAGATAAATGCTCAGAATGGCTCAAGGACTGCCAAAATCTCCCATCTTCATAAAGGACCTGGTGTTCCTTCACCCTTCAAACCTGACAGGATAGGGAAGCCGTGGCGCAGGATTGTAATTGGGGCTGAACTGAAGGAGCTGGCATTCTGACTGACTCCCTAGAATCTGCTTTTTCCCAAAATGTTTTTCAGGAGCATAAACTGAGATATTCTACTTCATACAATATAGTGTACTTTCTTTCACTGCAGCAATAGAAGTAAAAGTTGGAGGAAAGTCCAGGGAAGATTGTCTACATAATGCTCTCCTAAGAAATTTCTTCTCTTCTATCCCAGTTGCATAGCACCTGTCCATCAAATCAACAGTCCAACCCCTCCTGCCCAAGCAGGCTTACCGTGAGAGACTTGTCAGCTTCTTGGTTCAGTGCCCTTATTTATATGCATTTGCATATGAAAACCTCTACTATGGTTTCAGTGAATTTAAAGCCAGTTAAACTTGATAAATGTTGTTGCTACATAGATTTTGTGTGTGCGTGTGTTTTTAATTTTTTTTTTTGTAAGCAAATAAAACAGATGAGAACTCTTGTTTAACAGACTTATTTGGAGAAGGTATCTTGCTGTCATGAAAGCATGAACAGTATTTTGCAAAATTTTCAAACAAAAATGCCAATCAGGAGGAAAAACTCATCTGAAACAGATTTTTTTTTTTCCCTTGTGTTACTTAAGGCCTTAATAAAATTAGATGCTTTGTAGATAATTTTTTCAACTGCACATAACTAAAAATATGTTTCCATCAGTTTTTCCCTAGGATAATGATAGAGCTTTCAGAACTACAAGAATTCTATGACCCTGATACAGTAGAACTCATGACATGGATAAAGTAAGCATGAAATCCTACATTTCTATTTTACTGCTTTATGTCATGGTATTTTTGTCTCAGTATTTTTGTCTCAGTATTTTTGTCTCAGCATTTTGTGGAGCTACTGCTGTTAATCTGAGTTTTCCCCTGCTAAGTCATTCCATGAGGTATGGGAGGAGAAATTTTGATTTTAAGTTTGGTATTATTCCCAAAAAAGAAATAGGAAATTATTGCTGATTTCAAGAGGAGAAGATCCTGAAGCACACAAGTAGATAAGTTTAATGTCATTACTAGACCTGATTTCCAAATAGAGGTGGACATCTTAGTACTTGGTTCTTTGCACATTAACTTTTCAGTAGATTTGAGGTTTTGTGTTGATTGTAATACAAACAGGGATGGAAACACTGAAATTTTTGTGTGCATAAGCCAGTAAAATGAAAGGCCTGAATATGAGGGTTTAGAGACTCGAGTCAAGACACATAGAGTGTAATGTGTATGATTCAAGCATCTCTTTTGCCCAGAAGGCTGAAGGGTTCTTATCTGTCTGGCTAGGCAGGGTGTAGCAAATACTGAGCTGTGTTATGCAGTTCATACTGAGCCATATACATAGCTAATACCAAGTCCAGTTATTTCCACAGGTATGTTTTCCTTCTTACCAAAAGTTTCAGAACTGAATTCTGGCCTCATTCAATCTAACTTTGAACCATGTAATTAGGAACTGAACTTCTCTGAAAATTAGATACCCTATGTTCAGATAACTTGCTTACCTTTAGCTGTATATTTTTAGAATTTTCTATATTCATGTAGTCTTTAATGTCAACCTGTACATCTTCAGAAAAGGCAAGGCCAGTAATTATGATGTTCCAGCCAATTTCTTCTTTCTGTTAATAGCAGTGTATGTTGTTTGTCACTGCAGTAGCTCTTGAAGGCAGCAAATGGAATGATGCCAAGTACCTAATGGCTTTTACATTAGTCTGCACTTCAAGTACATAATTAATCATGGTGAGTTGCCTTGAGATTCACTCAGCTAAGAGCAATTTGACTACCCTTATTTGCAGCAGCTGTTCATACTTTTTAATGACAATAAAGATTTTTTTTTTCCTTAAGGATATACTTAGCTATCCGTATTAGAATTTTAATTGAATGTCATTTTTACAATATGTTCTCTTAACATTTTCTCGCTGATAAGGTGCATTTATTTATAATTTTTTTCTGCAGGAAAAATTAAGTGTAATATTTTCTTTCATTAATGCAGGAATATGAAAAGTCTAAAGATGAAACCAAACCCAGAAACATAATTACTGTAGACATTATTCTCTATTATGACACTGTTTACTTCTAGATGATGAAATACATGAAGACCAAACGAAAATAATCACAAATCCTTCCCTTACAAGATAACATTGTGTTGTTTTTTCTTCTACCTACCCTTCTTCCCAAGCTTACTTTGTCACAAGTCACCAACCATTTAGAAAAGCAACAGTTTGATCCATTCTGGGATCACTCTGAATGGTTCTCCGTGGATTGTGAAGAGGGGAGGAGAATGACCATCAGCCCTTGCTCCAGCAGAGGGCTGTCCTTACACACTCCTTACTGCTGTCGACGTCAGCTTTTCCTAGCAAGGGAACTACTGCCATTGCAGCATCCGTACCAACTAGTTACACCTCCCATTGTATCTCCATGTACTCCAGTTCATACTGTAGCACCTTCAGAGATTCACAGTGTATAAACCGAAAAGCGGTATTTTTGTGGAATGCATCCTGGCCTCAGACGTGTACGTTGGTGTTGCTTTTGCAGGCGACAGGCTCCTGTGGCTGCTGTGTTTGCAGGCAGCCCACAGTTAATGGGTGTGATTAAGCTCTGTACTGGATGGATGGTGTCAAGCTTGCCTTTATATAATGATGATGATCTTCTAAAAAGAAACGAAAATGTGAGTATCCAATTCCATAGATGTGAGTGTGTTTATAGACTATTCCATCATGTAAGACTGAAGTGCCTGAGATGTGTGAGAATACTGTGAACATTAGTGCTCCAACAAAGATGACCTGGTAACATTCCTCGTGACACACACGTTTGCGTTCCTCTTCTGTGCTACCCAGGCCACCTGTCAATGCAAATTATTTGTTTGGTGCTACTTCTACTACATGTGAGTGGTATTCTATACTGCCTTTTCTCCAAAGTCTTTACAGTCTAAGATGAGGAAAGAGCATGATGTCTTGTAAAGAAAGATAACAAGATAAGACCAATACATAATCTATAAGCTCATGAACAAGACAGTCACCAATGCAAGTGAACTAATTGTTGATGTCAAGATTGGAGGCAGCCTGGGCTGCAGTGATCACATATTGGTAGATTTCACAGTCCTGAAGGATATGGGTCAGGCAAAGAGTAAAGACAGGACCCTGAATTTTATGAAAGCAAAATTCTGGCTCTTCAAAGAGTTGGTCAATAGGACCTGCTGGGAAACGGCCCTTGGGGACAAGGGAGCAGAACAGAGCTGGCAGACCTTTAAGGACACTTCCCATAGTGCTCTTGATCCCTGGGTGCAGGAAATCAGGCAAGGAAGGCAAGACACTGGCGTGGCTGAGTCGAGACCTGCTGGTCAAACTAAAGGACAAAAAGGAAATACACAGGCAGTGAAAGGCAGGGACAGGTGTCCTGGGAAGAGCATAGGGATGCTGCCCAGTTTTGTAGGGATGGGAAGGACAATGAGCAGCTGGGGCTGAACCTGGCAAGGGATACAAAGAATGTCAAGAAGGGCTTCTATAGATATGTCAGCTAGAAAAGGAAGGTCAAAGAAAGTGTATGCCCCCGGTGAACAAGACTGGAAAGCTGCTAACAGACAAGGAGAAGGCTGAGGTACTCATCATCCTGGACGTGATACATTTCATCCTGGGCATGAGCCAGCCATGTTCACTTGCAGCCCAGAAGGCAAGTCGTATCCTGGGCTGCATCGAAAGAAGTGTGGCCACCAGGTCAAGGGAGGAGATTCTGCCCCTCTATTCTACTCTAGCCAGACCCCATCTCGGGTACCATGTCCATTTGCAGATTCCTCAGCACAGGAAGGACATGGATCTGTTGGAGCAGATCTGAAGGAGGGCCACGAAAGTGATCTGAAGGCTGGAACACCTCTCCAATTAAGAAACTCTGAGAGAGTTGGGATTGTTCAGACTGGGAAAGAGAAAGCTCCATCCAGGGAGACCTTATTTTAGCCTTTCAACACTGAAAGTAGACCTTTAAGAAAGATGGGGATGGACTTTTTAGCAGGGCCTGTTCTGACACAACAAGGGGTGATGGTTTTAAACTAAAAGAGGGCAGATTTAGACCAGATGTAAGGAAGAAATTTTCTACAATGTGGGTGGTGAGTCAGTGGAACAGGTTGCCCAGAGGCTGTGGATGCTTCATCCCTGGAAGAGATCAAGGTCAGGTTGGATGGGGCTTTGAGCAGTCTGGTCTTATGGGAGGTGTCCCTGCCCATGGCAGAGGGTTTGGAACTGGATGATCTTTAAGGTCCCTTCCAACCCAACACATACTATAATTCTAAGGTTCCTTACTGAGCAGCGTGACCATTTTGAGTCAGATGCAGTCTGTCATTTCTGAATGTTTGTGAGCAGTTTTGTCAGGGAGGAAGTCACAAAGCCAAATGAACTTGCCCAGTGACTGCCTAGCAAAGAAACTGAGATTGCTGTTTTATGTTTGCTGTTCTTAGTCTGTATTTGAACACTCCAGCATTACAGTAGGGAAACAGAAATCTCTAGGAAGATACTTGACTTGGAAAGCATTTCACAGGAACTGTCTTCACCCAAATGTAAAGAGAAAAAAAAAATCAAGTACACTAGAAGGAAGGAGGATGCAGGAGTCCAGCAAACAGAGAAGTATGAAGAAGATTATAATTTCTTCATTCTGAACAGAAACAGATAGAAAAATGTTATTTCTGAAGGCTTTTCAGGCCACTCAAAGTATATAAGATGAGAACTTGCCATCATCAGGAACAAATATCTCTCATTCAGCTGGCCATTACCTCACCTGTTTTGGAGATTTCAAACCCAAACATTTTATAGCTTGATGTGTACGTATAATTTGCTATTGCAGATAAGTGTGTGTGTGTATGTGTATCCCAGTATTTAATTTATCACTGATTTTTTGCATCGCATTAACATGTTTTCTTAATTTATAGATTTATCAGATCTATTCAAAGAGGTCAGCTGAGGATATTTATAAGATACTTACATCTTATAAAGCAAATTTTCTGGTTATTGAAGATTCAATTTGCAATGAAGTGGGACCTGTAAGAGGATGCAGAGTTAAAGATCTGTTGGATATTGCTAATGGTCATGTAAGTAACAGTAAGAAAAAATGAATGTTTGAATGTATAAGTAATTTAAAAAGGAATCTTCTTAGAATGCTGATCTTATTTTTCTGATGGTAGTTGACATGTAGACAAAGACTCTTAAATGCGATAATCAAGTTTTGCTTTGTCTCTTCTTACGCATCTGTAATCTTACCTCTGTAATCTATTCTTCAGCTGCCCTTATCCCTCCTAACACATTAGTATCTGGCTGTGCTGCTTTTCTGCCAGCCATTAAATACTACTCAACTATATATAAATCTTTAAGGATGTAACACAGGAAGAGATTATTACAAAGGCAGTGCAGCCCTGCCTCAGAGGGCATTCTTTACTAGCTTTAAAGATGAAATTTTAAAATGCATAAATTCTTCTCAAACTCTGCCTGGGATGAGGACCAGCTTACCATTCAGTCCAGTACAGCCTGTTTCTAGGATTAACAAGGTTAACAAATCCTTGGTTTTATTTTTTTTTTTTTAAATGGGGAGGACACATGTTTCTTTTATATAGTCTTATATTCTATTCTTGGGGAAAAATCTAAGGTGTTCATCTGTGTTAGGTATTTTATAAGCTCTGCTTTCAATGATACACATTTCAAAAGAACTTGTAATGCAAGCGTTTAATTTCTGTAGTTGCTTTCATTTAGGGGAGTAATTGTAGGCGTGATATATTTTTAGGGGATTACTCCTTTATTTCCCCAGGAATGTACAACTGATGTCAGTTCCACTTCTAGGTCTCCTGACCAGTTAATCTATGGAGTATACTGTTCCTGGTTTTGTGTTAACTTCCTTACCATTGTTGAAGTCTTGCTTTTTCTTTGCCTTGCTGCTATAATCATATATGCTGTGATTATTCCATGTTGTAACCAATATATTGTACATGACACTGTGTTAATAATCTCCATCTCTGATAATCAGCACACACTATCTCTGTTTCTTCTCCTTTCTGTTGTTGCATGAATAAGTTCCTGTTCCCCCTTCACACTTCAGATGTCAGCTGGAACAATTTAACCACAATTTGAGGATTCCATTTCGTCATACCCCTGCATCTCTCATCTCCATGCTCCCTGCATGCTTCTCCCTCACGCACAATCCTGATCTCATTCTAACTTAAGCAGCACAGTTTTACTATTAGGTTTTTAAGTTTTTGTTTTATTCATATATCAGAATTAGTTTCTTCCTTCTTTAATTTCTAACATACCGTGATGCAGCAGTTCATTCTAAGGAACGCTCCCTTTCAACAAACAACCTTTCAGAGTGGTTGGTGCTTGCAGTTCCACTCAAAGTGGGGGGAAAATATCAAAAGACAGCATCCAATGCAAGGAGCCTGTTTTTGATAAATTCCACACACAGCACTGACAGTAAACAACAGTCATTTACTATTTTTGTGTAATTAGGATTGTCGAGGTGACAAGAGTTATCCTATTTATAGTGGAGACATTAAGAAGGGGAAAAGAAAGTTCATGATGGGAGTTTCAGTAAAAATCTATTCTGCTGAATGTCTGTAATCTAAACCTGTAACAAAAGAACTTTAAATGTAGACAACCGAGTGTTCAGTATTTTTAGAACAAGATTGGTTGGCTAGTAATGAATATCACTTGTGCTTCCAGCCTGTGGCTGAGTCCGTACTGGGTTGGATGCCAAAAATGATAGTTGTAGGAAAAATATTGGAGTGGCCAACAGGAAAAAAATTGTGGGTTGTTGGGTTTTTGGTTTTGTTTTGTTGTGTGTGGTTTTTTTTTTTTTTGTTTTGTTTTTTTGGTTTTTTTTTTGTTTTTTTTTTTTCAAAAAGTTGACATGGTTTGTTCCTGGAAGTTGATGTAGTATGTTGTCTCAGGAAGCTTTGAAAGAAAACTCTCACTTATTGAAGGATTATCAAGGCTTTCCAAACTAGTGGAAGCTAGTATGCATATAGATGCAGTGCATATGCATGTAGTTGGAAACTGCAGCATTTACTTGTTTCCAAAGACATGAGACGGTGAACAGGCTGTTACGCTGTGGACAGGTCTGTAGATGTGTTTTCCAAACTCCTGTGTTTCAGAAGATAAGTACTACATTCTAGCTTGTGCTACGTCCTGTAGTTCCTGCTCCACTGTCTTGTTTCTGTTTCTGGTTAAGAGCATATGGACAGGGCAAGACACGTGTTGTCCATCAGGCTGTTGCCAAAGCAGTGTAGCTCAGGTGAAGGATCTTTGTGTTTGGTAGCCACCAAAAGATTTTTCTCCACTAATTTGTCCTACCACCTTTTTTAAATTCCATGTCAATTCACGCCATCAGAAGAAGTAGCTAAGGGATTTCTTCAAGAATATCAGATAATAGATGCTAAAACACACAAGCAATTTGCTTCCAAGTCAATTGGTTGGAATTTATAAGGTGATTTCTGTGTGTGGCTTCAGTCTTTATTAAGTATGTCAAACTTACTTGGCCTGGAAAAGGTGATTGGGAATTTCCTTCCCTACATAGGGAAGGAAAGGTCAGGTTTGAAGTACTGGGTAAACAGGGCACGTAGATAGTTTCCACCACTGCTCTTATTTATTGCATGAATTTATTGTATGGGGTTTAATGTCTGCTGTCCTGACAAAGGTATTAATTCACAAGGGCTGTTCTAACAACTTACAGGGGAATATGTTTTCAGCTTATTGGAATTGCACAGTATGGAAATTAAATATCTATCATAAAGTAAATGCATAGAATACAGAAGTAAATGTATAGAACTGCATTGTGTAACTGCTTATCTTTGTGGTTTTTTTAACTAGATCATCTTCTTTTCTGACAGGTGGTTTGTGAGGAAGGCGACAGTTATGCCCACTCAAAATATGGACGATTTTGTCATGAAATCAAAATGAACCATTCTCCATATGTGAATTACTTTACTCGGGTATACTGGAATAGATCCTACTTTGTATATAGAATCAACACTGTGATATCCTTCCAGTCATGAAACAGCATGCAAGCTTCTTTCTGAGGATTGACTATGAATGAAATTCAGTTGGAAAAGTTCCTTTTGATCAAGGAAGTTATTTTTGCAGATGCAGTGTATTGACAACTTTATTTTACCAAACTGGAATTCTTTCAACTACAGATCAACTGACACAGATACCATCCTTGAAGGAAATGGGCAAAAACTGTCAATTTTACAGTCTCTGCAAAGTGTGACAGTCTTTCACATTTTTGCATTTTTCTTCCCATTGTAAGATCATCTTCATCTTCTTGTAAATGAGATTTCTAACTTTAGTGTTAGAGAGCTGATATGGGTAGACTTCAGTGAAGGCATAAAAATTATTTAAAGACCTCATGTAAGCTTTTATTTTCTAGCAAGAAAGCAATCAGTATCCCGTCTCCTTTCAAGTAATCTTGGGATTTGGAGGGTTTTATTGTTTAATTGTTCTGCCTTCCACTCTAAGCATTTCTATGTGTATCAAACACACATCCGTACATCTTACGTGTACCTAGATTAAGGCACTGATCTCTATGTAGTTAGAGAGATTGGTAGAAGTGATTGGACTTGACCTAGCAGTAGGGTTGACAAGGTCAGATCTTCAGTTTGGAAAGAACGTTTCAGGATTTTTCCAAGCTCAAATGTAGATGTGTGTATGCATATGTGTCTTAGCAGCCATCCAGATGGGCCAGTATACAACTGTATGCCAGACTTGTTCTTGGACAAGTGTAGCAGTACAATGAGGTTTGCTGCTGAGGCTTGTGCACTTCTGTTTCACCTTGCCCGTGTGTGCTGGTGGGTGTGGGTATGTGTGTGTGGGTGTGCGTGTGGGTGTGTGCATGGTGAGCGGTGGCTGATACTTCATTCAACTTACTGTGTGATCGTTAGTGCCATAACTAATTTTAAAACACTATCATTGCCACCATTAATAAATAGTGGTGCAGTAGTTCATAGCTATTTTTGTATCAGTTATGCTACTACACTGAGATCTTTGCAAATTTGGGTAAGTACTCTGCAGTCTTGCTTCCTTCTAAAATTTGTCTTCCTTACATGACCCCATTTGCCTCTACAGCTGTTTTTCGTAGCAATTTATTTGTTCATCCTGTTTGTTGCTGGCTGATAGAATTTTGATAAAATGAATGATGCTTTGGTTCCAACGCTGGGCCTAATCCTGCTGTTGTGAATGGAAAATCCAATAAAAGGTAACAGTAACTTTGCTTAGGTAGGTGTAGCTGGAGAAAAAGTGATGATCTAATTTTTGGAAGAGGTTATTCACCCATTAGGGGTTACCTGCAGTTATGACTTCATGACAGACCAGTCTGTCATGCGTGTGGGAATGATTCTGTACAGCCCAGATGTTTTTTAATGAAGGATCTGGCAAAACAGGATGAACCTTGAACTGAAAAACCTGCAAACTGTTCTGCAAATGAAGGCTGCAAAGCAATCCTTACTGTACTTGTTGATAAAATGCAAATTCGGAGAATTTTAACTCTGAAGTTATTAGGAACTGCAGCATGTTGGTGTATACGCGAGATTCCTCTCTGCTATATGCAGATAGGTTTGATTACTTTACACTGACAGGTAGTGCTGAGTTTTTTAAAAAAATCTATTATCGCTATCGAAGTGATTTAGAAGAAAAAAAGCTTTATTGTTGTAAAAGTCAACACATCTGTAATCTGTGTTTTACTTTCAGTTATATTTTTAGGCCTATGAGCCTTGACAAGATGTTAAATTATGCATTTTATTTGAAACCAATGTTCAGATATCCTTGAGAGAAACATGTACCAGTATAACTGTGTTAAGGTTAGAAGTGAATATCCTTTGTGGGGACAGAACTGTTGTGTTGAGGGTGGTGTGTGTGTGTCTGGCCAAATGCAGTCTCTGTTTAGTGGCTTATGCACAAGTGCATATGTTTGACTGCACAGGGCTGTGTCAGACTTTTCAGTTACCATGTAACAACAAAAGCTAGTGTATTAATCTGAGCTGGGCAGGCCTGCAGAAACCTCTGTATGTGCTAGTGTGGATGTAGATGTAACATCTGGAAGTAAATTTAGAGTCCTTATGCCATTCAGTTTGGTTTGAATTACTGTCAAGAAATGACATGTCTGTGTGTCAGTCATTTGCTTGCCTGAAGTTAATCATTCATGAATATAATTTCATAACAGCAATAAGACATTCCAGGGAGCAAACTTCAGGGTTACAATTGCACTTGGGTGGATGAAGTCGCATAGCTTTCGGCTTCATGCCTTAGACTGCCATGCCAAGATGCAATATTGAATGATCCTTGGCTGCCTGGTGTGTTTTACCACAGTGCTGTATGTGTCTTACCACACAGAATAGAGTTTGAGTACTTGTATGTAGAGCACACATGTTAAGAAAAACACAAGGCCATCCATACATCTAAAGAAAACTATCTTCTAGCACGTTGGCCTTTACACATGTTTAAACAAACATGTTGGACTTTATTTGAACTGTGACATAGTTGTTATTATTAGTTTTGTCACAGTTTTTATGATGTATTCTTGATACTTAATTGATTCTGCTTTAGGAGAATCATTTAAGATTTTTACCTTGCTTTTTATACTAGAGAAAATTGTATTGCAGCACCATTGGCACAGCAGCCTTAAGTAACAGAAGGATCCCTTTAGGTGGGAGAAACACTGCTGATTTTCCAGTAAAAAGGCATTATTTTTAAAAGGAGTGACTGGAAGACTTATATCTTAGAAAATCATGAGCTTGGATTTCTTACCTGGCTATGGGTTAGCAAAAGTATAGATTTGTCTAGTCTAATCTCCACCTTCTGTGAAAAAGAAACAGTAAGTTTCATGATATCCCTTAGGACAACAATAGGGCATAATTGCATTGGATTTGTGCACGCAACCCTAGCTTGGTTTTCAACCAGGTCACAGGCTTAACTCCCTGCAAGGACAGGGGGGACATTTTGCAAGTTTTGATCTGTTTTGCTGTTGTTGTTACAATTCAGTTGAAACATGTGCCTTGCAAGCTTTTATTAAACAAGCAGAAAACTCAATTTGTGTTTCTTTTTGTAAAGATTTTTTTTTTTTAAGTTGCTATCCCTCTGATTTCCAGAGCTTCTGTTGTGTCTTAATACCCCAGCCTCTGAGGACGTGTATGTAGTAAGTGGTGCATCTAGGATGTTTGCCAGCCATCTAACAGTTGTTCACTGGGAAGAAGGAAAATTTGCATAGCAATTTGTGTTGCTATTTTGCTGGCTTATTTCCTGCACATTTCAAATTTCTGATCTGAGTAAATGCAAACAAAATGTACCTTGGAAGAATAAATTTAGTATAGTATTTTCAGGTACTCACCTGTTACTGTTAGACTTGTGGATTAAAGTTTAATCAAGCCAGAGCTAAACTGGCATGTACAGTCTTGTCTTAATCTGAAAAAGATGCTCTTTCACTTCCTGAATTACCACATATTTTAACTCAGTTGATAGATTGGCTGGGAAATGTTTGAGACTAAGTAAGTAAAGGCATTTCAGAACATTGTGTCTATTCATATTATTTAAAAAATACTATTTTTATTTCTTCTAGAGTAAATGGAAATATAATTTAATACACTACAGTCTTATATGCCATTTCTGTTGCGGGCTAAGGAGGCGATACACAAATACAGGAGAAAATGAGACAAAAGGTTTAATGGACATTGAAAATTCTTGTTTTCTCTTGTGGCATTACTGTTTACTGAAAGGTAGAATGTTAGGGGCAAACTCTTGTTCTTACCACCCTATTTTTACTAAGTCATCTGCACGTGTCCAAATCTTGTGACCCTTCATGTGCTTTCCCATGCAGTTCATGTGAGTAGGAGCTGTGGGATGAGCCCACAGGGTTTGTAAGCTGTCATTGAAACACTTCTTCATGACTGCTTAGTATAGCCTGTCCTTTCACCACACACCTAACAGGAGGAAGCCTAGGCCGCTCGTGTTGTACTTGCATTTAGAGATGTCTGGTTACCTGTTGTGTTTTGGAGACACAATGGGTAACTTCTGTTATCCCTTATGCTGGTTCGATCTATAAATCTCTAAATACTGACAGGCAGGTGGACTTTATTGTACTGTGGTATTAGAGATGAAAGAAAAGCTGAGTTTATTCCCATATGAAGCAATATTTCATGTGAAATAATACCTCAACATAAATCTATATAATCATGCCTTTAGTAGTATTTTTACAACTTAGCTGGGGGGGGGGGGGAACATGAGAATTTGAGAACATGCAACATGTATTATTTTAATAATTATTTATATTTCATCAGAGCAGCTAAAAGAGCATATCACCATTATGTTGCTGCACTCTTACTGTGCCAGGTGCAGAGCTAGCAATGACTAAAGGTCTTCTGAATTTTTTGGTACCTCAACTAGATGTTTAAATGTGTCATTAATCTGGCAATGTTTTTGATTTCAGCACAGTTAAATTTATGTAATTCTGTCTTTCAAGTGATATTTAAGGTTACCTATGTATTTGATGGAAAAGAGGTGGGTGTTTAATGCCTTTCAAAGTTTCAAACTTTGTTACTTCAGTAATGCAGAACAATTGTTGGTGGTGCTTTACTCGTTAATAGTGACATTTAGCAGTAGCATATATGGCATATGGGCATATCTATGTGCCGCTGTTTAGTAACAAATCTAAGGAATCCAATTCCTTTTATCCCGTTTGTTGTCTTGAACAGGTTTTTTATCAAAGTAATGTATACATAGTAAATATTTTTCTCTTATGGCAAACTTTTTTTCTGTGAAAAACAAACAAACCAACCAATTGTAATAAAAGCCAAGTCCAGAAAGTATGGATTGTTTGAGACATGAGCTGTTTTATGCACTTTTTTTTTTGAGAAGTCTGATACCCTTTCACAGAAAAAATATGTAGTTCATAATGAATTAACTTCCTTCCTTTGCTGTGGTAATAAAATGACTTTTGTATTCTGTTGTATTACTCGCACCTGCAATTTTCAGTGAAGACTGTAGAGCATAGCTCAAATACCTGCCTTGAGGGGGGCAGCATAGATAATCTTGCAGCTCTTGAGGGTTAGCAGCCTCCTCACACTGGCTCCCTGGGACTATCTGAGACACCCTGCTATGAGGATGAGTGC